ATAAATACAAGCATAATCTACTACATGGTGGCTGTGTCTACACTGGCAGATGTAAAGTGCTGGCAGTTACAGTATTGCTCACAGAGTGCAGCAGCGAAACTGCTGTGTTGCTCACGCTGTCAGCTGCCAGCACAGTAACGCGACCACTCTTGCGGCACTTATGGTGGCATTCAGAGTGCACCTCTTCCTCTTCTGCTGCTGAGCTTTGTGGGAAGGCTAAGGGGATCTGTGGGTCACGCTCAGTCCGGGGTTTGAAGGCCTTATAGATCTTGCAGGCTTCTATGAGGTGAGACTCTCCCAGACACTTTAGACACGATGAATGGGGATCACCACAGGGCATAGGCCTGTGACACTTTTTGCAGGGCTTACAGCCTTGCAGATGGGACATGTGCTGCTGTGGGCACGCCGTGGTGGGGAGTAACTAAACAGAAAATAACAGAAAAGAGTCTTTAACTTAATTTGCAGCTACTTAGCTGGAGACTAATTGAAAAAATAAGAACAATGCTGAAGACAACGACTGCTGTAAAGAGCTGAGGGTTGTTCCAACGACCGTCACAGCGGTAAGAAGGAACTGAGTGAGTGAGGGGGTCAGCACGTGTATATATGGGCCGGTATACCAGCACCACTCCAGGGGGCTCCCCTGCTGGCCCTACGGGTACTGCTGAGGGAAAAACTTCTGACGACGTGTGCACGCTGTGCGTACACACCTAATTGGAATGGACATGAGCAATCACTCACAGAAGAAACAATCTACGAGGGAAGACTGAAAGAACTGGGTTTGTTTAGTTTGGAAAAGAGAAGACTGAGAGGGGACATGCTAGTAGCTTTCAAATACTTCAAAGGGTGTCACAAGGAGGAGGGAAAAATTCTTCTTCTTAACCCCAAGAAGCAATGGGCTTAAATTGCAGCTAGGAAGGTTTAGGTTGGACATTAGGAAAAACTTCCTGTCAGCGAGGTTAGACATCAGAATAAATTGCCTATGGAGATTGTGGAATCTCCATCATTTGAGAGATTTAAGAACAGGGTAAATAAGGGATGATCTAGATCAGGGCTACTCAACTTTGGAAGCCCTGGAGGCCACAATAATACTCTCAGAGCATGCTGAGGGCCACAACCTAAGTGTGGTTGCATATGCAAGCAAATAGCTTCTTTCACACTGATGGGACATGATACAAAGCACTTCCCACAATGCTCCGAAGCTCCTGGCACCTCCTCCCTGGGGGCTAGAAATGCCAACAGCTTGTACCTGTCTGTTTTAGCTTGTCCATCTGCTTGCGTCTTTCAGTGCTCACCCTGCCTGGGAAACACCCCACCATTGTGGAGCATGTTCCCAGTGGAGGCCATGTTCAAAGGATCCCACCTGGGGGCTGCATGTTGAGCCCTACGTAAAACCAAACCACATCGCAGGCCACAAACAAGCCATGGGCTGTGTGTTGAGTAGCCCTGATCTAGATGGTGCTTGGCTCTGCCGTGAGGGCAGGAGACTGGACCTAATGACTCTTGAGGTTCCTTCCAGTTCTAGTGTTCTATGATTCTATGACTTTCTTCCCAGAGAAGATCATCATAGGAGATGTCAAAATGCCCATTGTAATTCTGGGGACACAGCTTACTTCTTAATTCCATGGCTCATGAAGCCATAAATGGGGAGCCTTGGCAGCAGCAAAGAGAAGTTCAAAAACAGGCTGAGCAAGTGCAGAATGACTGTGGAGTGTGCTTTTGGACATTTAACAGTCCACTGTTTGTACAGGAAGCTGGACTGGCCAATGATAACATTCCTATGGTTAGCATCGCGTGCTGTATCTTCCGTAATATTTGTGAAGGGTGAAAGCTTCACTCAGGACTGGACCACTAAAGTACAGCACCTGGAGGCCAAGTTTTAACAGCCTGAGACCAGGGCTATCAGAGGAGCACAGCAGAGGGCCTTAAAGATCAGGGATGTCTTGAGGCAGCAATCTGATATTGAAAGTCAGCAATATTTGTTGCCATGCACAGGAATGCAGTGACTGCGTTGCTATGGGTTTACTATGATCAGTCCGTACAATACACTTAGTCTTAAACTGACCGTTGCTTTGCTAGGGTATGCTTTCTTGATTACTTGCTTGCATGGAATGGAATCAAGATTGCTTTGAACCATAAGAATTATATTTATCAAAAACAACAAATGAAGAACACATGCAGCATAACACATGTGCACTTTGTGGGAGGAAGAAGAGGGGAGGAGATGAGGCCACAAGACTTTTACAGAGTTATATATGTCCAGGTTTCATATGCAGCCTTGACGTCTGATATGCTATGTAACAGGGGCTACAGTACATCAAAACTAAGCTGCACAGGATGGCTGTTGAGTGCATTGGGTTCCAGTAGGGGTAGAGTATGGAAAATATGGGACATCAGCTGGGGACAGGGAGGCAGTCACACAGCTCTTCCATATGAAGTACTAGCAGTACCTGGCACATGTCTGCTCGGTGCTCCATAATGTTTAAGAGCTGCTCCATGTTCCCCTTCCATTCTTACCTTTCACTATCCCTCTATTCCTTTCTTTTCAGCAGCAGCCTGAATCATGACATCACACAAAAAGTCCTCTTGAATTTTACGAGCCCGCTTCCTTGTTCTGCGCAGAATAGCAAGGCAGGCAAGTATCCTAAGGATACATCTGTGAAGACAAACTACAACATGTTACAGAGAGACCACTGTTAACACTAGACGGAGCACTGCCATAACCCATTATAAACACAAGCATTGTTCACATACCTATCAGACTGGCTGCTCCAGGGCAAGTGCACATAAGACCCTCAAAATGGTGAGTTAACCACAAGAGCAGGAGAATTCATTGGTGCATGGGAATTCGCTGGTGAGTTAACTATCAGGGAAGAGGAATTAATTGGCGCACTGGAGCAGGGGGATTCATTGGTGCAGGGCCATACTGTATTTTAGGCACATGTGACTTGGGTAAAGCACCTTGGGTAGGTGGGGGGCATATCATTAGTAATGGTCACTCATTTTCCATAGGTTGTGTTCATCCTGGAAGACATTTTGCAGCTTAAGGTTAGCAGAGAAGCAAGGAAGGGTATTTTAATTAACTGTGGGTTCCATCTGGGCTCGTATGAGGCTGCCTCAGTGCAGCAATGGTCTCCCCACCACATACAGCATAGAGACAAGGGAATGTTATTCTTAATGGGACAGTGAACACAGCAGCCCTGCCAAGAAACCTACGGAGATGAATTGCCCAGCAGCTGCGTGACACTTTTGATGAAATCTGTGAGGCTGATTACTGTGAAGTGAGAAATTCCATCAACATGCTGTTCCTGGTCTGAATAGCCTATGCTGGTAGCAGCAACACACGAACCAAGCCTATTGTCTGCAATGCTTCCTCTCCCAGAAACTTGCTTCAGTGCTTCTAGAAATCAAAGGCACTTACCAGGCACATCTTCTGCTGTATTATGCTTCCCCAAACTCCAACTGGTTCATCTCCTCCAGGACAGAAAAGATTGACTGACTACATGCATCTGTGAATGTTGAGTTATCCTTTGGGTCTGAGTTCCTCTGCCTCTCAGCACCTTCATCCACAATTTCCTTTTCCTGGCCCAGTCATCCATGAGGGTCCTGGGATGGCCCGAAGCATTCATGAGGGTCTTTGAAACAGAAGAGGGGTTGCCCCCAAGTACCCCATCCAGGTCTTTGTAGAACTAGCAGGTCATGAGTGTAGTACTGGAGCAGCAGTTTGCTTCCCACGCCATGTGGTATGCAAGCGGAAGCTCCTTAACTATGCCCCTGCATTGCAGTGCATCCTGATCACAGCCCCTTTCAGCCATACATATCAATATCTGCCTGTAGGCATCATAATTCCTCTGCCTGGAGCACAGTTGGGATTGCACAGCCTCCTCTCAGCAAATGCTGAAGAAGTCCATCACCTCTGCATGGCTACAAGTGGGAAATCTCCTAGTGTGTGGAACAAGCTTGGTCAGCTGGAAAGATGCACTGAGAGCACATCACATGTTGCCAAGCAAACAGGAATGGGACTTTCAAAATTTCAGAGGAATGTAAAGAGTGGGTCTGAAGTTTGGTCACGTGAGAGCATGGCAGTAGAGTTCAAACAGATGACCAGACAGGTAAGAACAGGCATTGTGGGATAGGTACAGAAGGCCAGTCACAATGCAGCAAACAACTGAAGTGTCCACACTGGCATTTTAGCGCTGTACAGCAAGTTCTGTGCCTCTCGTCCAAGTGGTTTATCTAGAACTTAGCAACTGTGAAGTTAGTGTGCACTAAATGCCTTGCCAGTGTGAGCACTCTGGCATTACAGCACTTATTTACTGCACTGTAACTTGTCAAGATAGAGTTGGCCTAAGAAGAAGTTCACACATCATATTCCTGTGTTTACTGATGTCCTATATTGCTATTTGTTTAGTAATGAGAATCACTGATTATTATACAATTTATATAAAACTCTAAATGCCATAAATTCTTAATCATTCTGTTTGTTGGGATTCTAAGTAGATATTAGGCACATTCCACTTGACCTTGACGAATAAGGATTCAATTGTGCCTTATAGGCACAAGCCAATGTTGAAACAGTAAAGACTACTTCCCCATTGGGAACTGCTAAAGGTTTCTTGCTCTTTTGCAAAGAAGTCACACATAATCTAGCCCTAAATTAAGTGGTAAAGTCTTTCAATAGCAATAAATTTGATTGAACCAGTATTGGCCTTTAAGTACAGTTGCTGTTGTACTCCATTAGAAAGGATAATTTAAATTACTATTTAATTTAAATATAATTTGTGACCAAGTGGGCAAGTCAATTATTATCCAGATTTCAGCACTACACAGGCTACCTCAGCAAACAAAAGAACTCTCTCATATGTTCTCAGTTAGATGTAAATGCATAATGTTGTATATGTCATTGCTGCTACAGCTAATGGGATAAATTGATGAGGCTATGATGTACACTGATACTATTTAACAAGTATCAGTGATCTTTAAATAAAACATCCTTCAATAAATTTTTAAATAAATCTCTGTGGTCTTTATTAGAGAAATACTTATAATTACAGTGAATCCTTCACTTCCAATAATACAAATACATGCAAACAGGTAACAACTAAGTGGCAATGTATGCCTCCTGTTACGGAGTTCTTAGGCTTCTGCTGTACTCTTGAAATTGTCAACATTCTGCTTATACTTGTCAAAGAAAAAAAACTCAGATACACATTGGACCTCCCAAAGCTGGGACTCCATCTGGCAACATCCGTGGTCCAGCAGGACCATTGGTGTTCGTGGACCAGGGAGTACTGGCTGGGAGCCCAAGTGACAAGAGGGTTGGTGGCTCAGAGCCCAGCAGGGCTGGGGCAGGGACCAGCGCTGGAGCAGCATGGCAGCCCGACAGCAGGGTGGGTGGCAGCTGGGGTTGGTAGCAGGGAGGAAAGGTGATCTGGGGAGCTGGTAGCAGGGGACTTTCTCTGGTCCAGCAAATTCCCTCATTTGGGACTGGTCAGGTCCCGAGGGTGCCAGACCAGAGAAGTCCAACCTATACTGAACTATGCTGGATCACTGCTAGCATGCTAGAATCCCACAAAAGACAGACATCTAACTAAATGGGGAAGGGAAACAGCATCAATCCTCATTCTTTTGGAGGACCTAGAGCTATTCATCACTGCCCAAAGAACGAGGCTTGGCCAGTCAACCCTAGAGCAGCTGGGAGATACTCTGAGTCAGTAAACCTCATAAGCAGCTTCTGCTCGCTGGGAACCTGGGCTGGAGTTTAAAGATGCATTCCCTAAGCAAAGGGCTGCAGCAATACTGGAGCGTTGTCTCTCCCCAGAATTGAACTTCCTCATTTTGTAGCTGTCTCATGGTATTGATTCAAGTCCAAGTTGGTAGCAAGCAGTATGCAATGACTTACAGTATTTTCTATCAGGAACTGAACAGAGCATTTCAATTTGCAAAATGTACTGTATTTGAAGAGATTAGAACAGAAATGAAGCTCTCTGAGTTATGATTTCAACATAAACTGGGCACAGGAATCACATGGTTTGCTATAAACTGTATAAACAGTGTGCAGTCTTTGACAGCACTACTCAAACTTGGATACTGAGCTAAGCTAATATTAAAATTTTCAAATGTACATCCCATAGCAATGCAACAGATACAACTTTAATGAGTGGTTTCAGAAAAATATAAAAGATTAATTTTATTATTAAAATAGTCCATGAGCTATGGTTACAAAGACAAATGACCTAAAAAATTATGGGATTGAATCTGATCTCAGATACACAAATATGTCCAATCATGACAGAGAGAGCAGGAGCATGCGTATGAGGAGCTAAAAGCAACTTTATTGTATACCTGCTGTGCTCCAAAAGGTATACTGGGAGATATAATAACAGACCTGATTTCTATTTCACATTAGTGAGCATAATTAGGAGTAAGCACTGAAATCAAAGGAGTCAGTGAAAATAAGTGTAAACAAGACCCAATTCAGGCCCTATGTTTAACGCATTTGTGTTTAAAAAATAAAAACAACAAACAACAACAACAAAAGAGGGCAATAGTTACTGAAACTGGGACGGGAGGGGGGAGGGGGGTTAAGCCTACACTCATGCTATCAACAAGCCTCTCTAACTAATGGACTGAAAACCCATTTACGATATTTTCCATGTATTCCCATGTGAACTGGGCATGAATCTCCTCAGATGTTCTAAGCAATAGGCAACTTTCTAATTACATGTCACTTAGTTATGTCGTTTACAGGAGTGAAAAATAGCCAAATACGAAATGTAGCACTTTAACATAAAGGAGATTTGTGATACTCTCTATTGTAGGGGGTCTCCTGGTCCATAAACCAATAAATACACCCACAGATGTATTTTTGTTTTCATTTAGGGTGACACACACAATATGGAAAATTCTAATAATTTCAAGTTATTATTTTAAGTTCGAATTTTTTTCATGTAATAGTTTCAGAACTCAATGAATCCAGCAATATAAAGTATTTAGTATTTCTACCGTATGTCTCTCACAAAGCACTATGCAAACATTAGCTAAATAATCCTTACAGCATCCTGTGAGTTAGTAGAAGATGGAAATTGCTCATGCAAAATGAAAGAGAGGACTGCAACACTGGGAGACTTGTGATATGGCACTCAGTGAAGTGAAAGGTATGTCACATCCAAAATGTCAGCTTGTGATTGCCTTTCACCATAGTAAAAGGAATGCGACATGTCACAAAATGCTTCTCCCTATGTGCTGTATTTTGCTACACATTTGGTAGTGTATAAATTACTGGATTATAAATCCTATGAAAGTATGATTTTATGGATTTGGTGACTGTGCAAAAGTCACAATTTAGAGAATGACCAATAAATATATTTCCTTTTCATACACATGTTGGAGGTACTACAGTATTCTGCATTTCTAGATGAGGTATCCTATATACACAATCCAAATAAGGAACATAACATAAAAAGTGTATCCTTAGAGACTCATAATGTATACAGGCATCAATACCGAATGCTCCAAAAATTAGCCGTATTGATCTAAATTCTTGAACCATGTTTTAAATGGTGATAATAGGGCTGTAGGTCAATTTAAAATAAACACAGTCTTATACTCTACAATATTAGTTATATCTTGGTTTCTCTTTGCCTCTAATATCCTTAGGTCAAAACTCAGTTTAATCTGAACACTTCCAAAACAGGTCAGTAAGCAAAGGAAACTCTAATGAGACTGTTATACAAGATAAATTAGGGTTAATTTGTCAATAGAGTTGCTAACAGATGTCAGTTAGTCAAGGCTCTTCTGGCATTTGGGAATATGCTTGAAAAAGATATGCTAGCTTGTGCAATCCCCTATATTAATTTGATGGGGAAAAGTATATTACTGGAAAACACATTTTTACCACACCATCCTAATGAGAAAAGCAAGTTGCTATTGCAATTAGCAGGAACAGTATAATTAAAATAGAATTTCAACTTTATATTAATAATAGAGCAGTATACTAATTAAAATCAACATCAACTGAACTTTCTACATATACCAGTTCAGACAGTCCAAAAGGCAAGAAACTCTTTTTCACAGGCATATGTTAATGTTTGAGCTTCTGTCATCCAGGTGTCATTTCTGAAAGAGCACATGTGCACTGAACAGTTGGCAAGGAATGAAAACGATTACTGTAGATATTTATGCATAATCTAGGATATAAAATAGGCCACTCAAGATGTGGGAGACTATATCTAAAAAGAGAAATTTTCTATGACTTCTCCATGTGTGAAAAGCAGGAAAGTGCAAGACTGAGGGTGGTGCAAATGCCAATACAAATAAGCAAAGCAAGTTTTATTTGGGGCTTGTGTTTTTTTCCTGTATTTTTTTTAAAAAAGGAAACCTAATTTGGCTATTGGGAAGTTTAGAATCATGATTTAAAGTCAGGACAGACTACCCAGAAGTCAACATCTACCTTTTCCCAATACCAACAACAATATACAAAACACAGTTTTTGGAATCAGAGTTCTCAGCCTGAGAAAAAAATAATGCAGACAGTTAATTTAAGTCACAATAGTACAGCTTTTGTTTTAACATAAGCAGCTTCCTTTGCATGAGTCTTCTTTGCCTCTTCTGCTTATCTTTAAGAGTAACTGAGATATTCATAGTATTATTAGGCATTAAAACTGTGTGTTCCCAAGCAGTGTTGTTCAAAGAAGTTGCTTTTCCTGAAGAGACTCCGATGATAGGATAGATACATTGGATCTGCTAGTTTTCATTTGGATCCAAATCAATGTCAACTTCACTTGATAGGTTAAGATAAAAGAAAGCGTAGAAGGCCAACAGAAATATCAGTATAGCAACAAGGATAAGAGCAACTTCCTGCAAAAACAAGAGAAAATTTTCAAAATGATAAAATGTCAGATACGGTATCATCATTTCAAATAAATCAGAAACAATTGTTATCTCCCATCGGTATAAAGCCTGCAGAAGATATCTTTTCATCAGACTTATATCATTTACACAACCAAGTGGCTTTAGAGCAGTTGTAGACAAACTTCAACTCACAAGCTGCATGTGGCCCACTGGGGCTCCACTTGCTGCCAGCGGATTCCCTGTCTACCCCTCTTTCCTACACACCTCTCACATACTGGGGCACTGGAACCCTTTACTTCTTACTCCTCTCCCTCCCTTCCTTCCTCCCATGCTCCCTCCCGGTACTTGCAGAGCACCATGAATTGCCTGATTTGCACTCGGTCCCCACTCCTCGCACTACTTCCCAGAGCTGGAACAACCACAAATCAGCTGTTCAAGCTCTGGGAGAGTGGTGGAGGAGTGGGAACAGAGTGCAAATCAGGCAATTCATGGTGCTCTTCAAGTATCGGGCAGGACGGAGAGGAGTAAGAAGTGAGGGGTTCCAGTGTCCCAGTGCACGAGAGGCATTTGAGGGCAAACAGGAGGACCGTGGGTCATAATTGGAATCCTAGTGGGTTGTGGGCTGCTGCGGCCCACAAAGATGAAGGAGAGTCACTAATGTGGCACACTCATTCTTGGTTGCTCACTGCTGCTTTAGAATCACTACCTCCCAAGACAGAGTCCACCATTCTGTAAGTAAGGTCTACATTCTTTCTTCTTTTAGCAACAAGATTGCAAATTATTAATGATGCATGCAGACCACAGTGAGTATGAATGAAAAATGCTCCTCATCTCCCAACCTAGCAGAAAACAATATGCCATGGTAACAATCTGCAAAACACTTCAGTGCAGAACAAAAAACTTTCCCATGCTCTTTCCTTAATGCTGGCAGAAAGCATCAGAGTTTGCATTTGCCCGTGACTCACTCTCTCCAAAGAAACACCCTTGTATAGCTGCCTTAATTATAATAAATGAATCCTCCACAGTGTTCTTGATTTATAGTGAGTTTTAGAATTCAAAAAATACTTTTGTAGTAAATGATACAGGGCTCTTCATTATCATAACCTCTTTTTCTCAGGGCTACTTAACGTAACCTCCCAAATGTATTAAAATGTAGAACAACAATCCTTATAGCATTATTTCTACACCACACAAAACGCTTGACTTCCAAAGACAATGTTCTATTTAAAAAAAACCACACACAATATTTTCATTTCACTAGAGAGGGCAACATACTACTCTACAGTGTAAAGTGCTGACTACCATTTTCAAAGGCAATGAAATATGGGATATGATTTTGAATACTGTATTGCTATCGCCCACAATAAATGGAAATTGTCACTTCCACTGGTGACTAGAGTGATTACACATTACCTTCACTGTCTATTACGGTGATTTATTTATAAATCATGTACCGAGGGCCCTCAACAAAAACAGATGAACCCTGTGGAAAAAAACAAAACAAATCCCCACTGTTCCCTCTGCCTCTCCCCACAAAATATTCCAAAAACTTGATTCAATGGTCCATCTATAAAACATCTGCATCAAATCACCAATCCAGATACATAAAAAGGAGAGGAGCTAAATAGGTGTAATGACAATAAAAAATGCATCCTAGAATACTTAAGGAGCTGATAGAAGAGGTATCTGAGCCTTAAGTTATCATCTTTAAAAATTCATGGAAGTTGGGAGATAGACCAGAAGACTGAAAAGGGGCAAATATAGCGCCCATCTATAAAAAGGGCAATAAGAACAACCCAGGAAATGACACACGTCAGTTTAACTTCTGTGCCAGGAAAAATAATGGAGCAAATAATTAAAGAATTCATCTGTAAACATAAGGAAGATAATAAGAAGATAGGTAACAGCCAGTATAGGTTTGTAAAGTACAAATCATGTCATACCAATCTGATAGCTTTCTTTGATAGGATATCAAGTCTTGTGGATAAGGGAGAAATGGTGGGCGTGACTTTAGTAAAGCACTTGTTAAGGTCTCATATGACCTTCTTATCATTAAACTAGGGAAATACAACCTAGATGGGGCTACTCTAAGGTGGGTGCATAACTGGCTGGATAACCATTCTCAGAGAGTAGTTATTAATGGTTCACAATCCTGCTGGAAAGGTATAACAAGTGGGGTTCCGCAGGGATTTATTTTGGGACTGGTTCAGTTCAATATCTTCATCAGATTGCATAGACAGTACAATTATTAAGTTTGCAGATGATACCAAGCTGGGAGGGGTTGCAAGTGCTTTGGAGGATAGGGCCATAATTCAAAATGATTTGGACAAACTAGAGAAATGGTCTGAGGTAAATAGGATGAAGTTTAATAAGGACACATGCAAAGAACTCCACTCAGGAAGGAACAATCAGTTTCACGCATACAGAATGGGAAATCATTGTCTAGGAAGGAGTACTGCAGAAAGGGATTTATGGGTCATAGTGGACCAAAAGTTAAACATGAGTCAACAGTGCAACACTGTTGCAAAAAAGCAAGCATGATTCTGAGACGCATTAACAGGAGTGTGTGAGCAAAACACGAGAAGTCATTCTTCAGCTCTATTCTGCACTGATTAGGCCTCAGGTGGAGTATTCTGTCCAGTTCTGGGCACCACATTTCAAGAAAGATGTGAAAAAAAATCGAGAAGGTCCAGAGAAAAGCAACAAAAAGATTAAAGGCCTAGAAAATATGAGCCATCAGGGAAGACTGAAAGAATTGGGTTTGTTTAGTTCAGAAAAGAGACGACTGAGAGGGGACATGACAGCAGTTTTCAAGTATCTAAAAGGGTATTACAAGGAGGGGGGAGAAAAATTGTTCTCCTTGGTCTGTGAGGATGAGCATAAACTGTAGAAAGGGAGGTTTGGGTTGGACATTAGGTGGTTAAGTACTGTGGAATAAATTGCCTAGGGAGGTTGTGGAATCTTCATCACTGGAGATATTTAAGAAAAGGTTGGATAGACATTTGTGAGGGATGATTTAGATCAGTGGTCCCCAACCTTTTTAAGCACAAGATCACTTTTTGAATGTAAGTACAATGTAAGATCTACCTCAAACTCAAATAACCTTGCCCCTCTCCTTTGTACCCCTTCTCCAAGGCTCTGCCCCTGCTCACTCTGTCCTGCTTCCTTCCCCCATTCTCCCTCCCTTTCACCAGGCAGGGGCAGAAGGTTGGGGCACAGGCTCTGGTCTTGGGCAAACAGAAGGCTCCCGGGGGGTGAGGGGAGCTCCAAGGCAAAGGGCAGAAGGGGCACAGCAGTGGGGGGATGGGCAACTGAAGTGCTGTGCTTGATAATAGTTTCTTGGTCAAACTAGTCAATATCACCTGTCAGAGGCTCCAGGATCTTCCAATAGATCCCAATCTACTGGTTGGTGATCACTGATTTAGATGATGCTTGGTCCTGCCATGAGGGCAGGGGACTGGACTTGATGATATCTTGAGGCCCCTTCCAGTTCCAGTGTTCTATGATTCTATGAAAGGCGAATATGAAAACCTGGGGGGGGAGTTAGGTAGACACTGTCAGCAAGAAAAGATCTCCAGACAGGTTAACAGTGGGAAGGGCACTATAGTAGGGAGTCAATATACCTGGCTACCCACCTCAGCCTTCTGAGTAGAGAATTAGGTTGCTATAACTGTGTTACTCAGAAAGACCACACCCACGGAGCAGTGTTGTTCAGCTGACTGAAGTCCCTGAATAGACACTACTAGGTTGACAGAAGAATTCGTCTGCCAACATAGCTACTGCCTCTTGAGAAGATGGATTACCTCTGCCAGTGGAAGAATCCCTCCCATGGGTATCACTAGTGTCTCCACAGTGCACTGCTGTAGCATCTTAGATGAAGTACAGCCATACCTCGTTGTGTTCCCAACCCAGAGTTACATTTTTTACTAGCCTTGTTTTAAAATCAGGTCCATGATCTGGATATTCTTCTTTAGAACAGTACTTTCATTTGCTTTCATATAAATGCATTTTATATTCAATCAGACTGTTGGATCAATAATTAAACATATGTCACATAATAAACTGAAATATTACTGCTTATTCGGCTTATGCTCTGTATGAATCTTTGTTCTCTGAGAACCCATGGGTTTATTTTCTACAGAGAGGGCGGTTTTATTTTTAATTTGCAAGCCATGTTGGTCTCAAGATATTATAGGGATGAAGTGGGTGAGGTATTATCGTTTATTGGACCAATTTCTGTTGGTGACAGAGGTAAGCTTTTAAGCTTACACAGAGCTCTTCTTCACCAAAAGAAGTTGGTCCAATAAAAGATATAACCTCACTTATCTTGTTGCTCTAATTTATAAGTGATATTTATTCTTCTAAACAAATGTTTAAATTGTATAAATTTGTTGAGGACATTTGCTATAGGCTGTAACTAGAATTTCCCATTAGAATGATCAAATAACCCTATTCTCTCATTTTATATAATTTGATTTAAAAAATTGCATCTAATTTCCTAACATACTAAATGAACATGATTTTTGCTTTATTGCAGTTACAACACTTCAGTATCTCAAAAGGGCATGGCAGCATCAGACAGGTTTCATTTATTTTCTTGTATCCACAGCTGTGCTCCCAGACCCATCTGGCCACACAGCTACTAATATTAAGGGGATGTAATGAACAAGTGACACAACTACAAATTCCATCTGGTCAGAAGAGTGGACAACAATATCATACAATGCAGCCACCATTCGTACTGACACAGAGAATATTATTAATATTTTTCTCTCATTTGGATACTAGATTTTCCACTTTATTACAAGCTAACCCTTCCCCTTCTCCAAATCCTCTCTCCATAATCATTCTTAAAAATTTTGTGCCATATGTAAAAAACTTGTTGACAATATTTTATAATGTAGAAGCATTTCCTAGTGGTTAAAAGAGAAAACTAGGAGTCAGAATTTCTGGATTCTATTCCCATGTTATCTAATGATTTATGTGACTTAGGAATTTATCTTTCT